GCTTTACAGACTGGGACGACTCCTTGTTTCTCCAGTCTGTAGTTCGTTTCCCTGACGCCTAAAACAGCAGTCGCTACTGTAAACCCCTTCTCTGCCGCAACGCGAACAAAACTTTTTCCACGGGTTTTTGCAGTTTTTACGGATGTGACCTGGCATCTTGCATCTAAAGCATGTCGTTTTGGCATCGTACTCTGCTTGGTCCGTGCGTCTCCAGTTTCCACGGCAACTCTGATTTGATCGGTTCTTTTCGTCTTCTAAAGCTTCGTATTCTTGAGCTAAATCTTGTAATTCGGCTAAGTTTTCAAAATCTCGGCGGCGAGCATAAAGCTTATATTCTGGTAACAGATTTTTGTATATCCTTTCGAGTTCTTGGTTTCTGGAAAACGATCCTTCTCGTCTGGTTAGTGTTTGAATCTCCGTGATATATCTATCTACCGGCTCATTTTGTCTCTGTTTTCTGTTTCGGATTTGCTCCTCTAGTTGCAGCAAATATCCTCTGGGATAGAAAGCTTTTTTAAAATCTTCGCTGAAATCTGCCCATGACTTCCAATTTTTGTTATTGTTTCTGTACCATAACAAAGCGTGGTCTCCTAATAACTCTGGTAATGCTCTTAATAGATCTTGTTTATCGATCTCGTAGGCCAAGCTTAATTCGTCTATCCTCTCTAAGAATCCTATTGCATCCGAATGTTTCTTGTCGAAGTGTGTGTTCCACCTTCGTACTTGATTTAGCAATTCTGATTGCCCCATTTGTTTCGCTATTGTTAATTCTTGTAATTGTCTTCGGATGCCCGAAATTTCCTGGGCCAGTGTGTCGGATTCTGTTCCCTTGGAAGTTTTTTCTTTTTGCATTGCTCCTGTCGCTTCCTCGCGATTTTTAAAATATATCCTGAGTCGTACTCTCAATTCGTCGACGGTTCCCTTGGAATCTAAGCCGAATTTTTCGGCCTCGCTCTGCAATTCCTCTTTGCAAAGTCGGTTTATCCAGGATGTACCTGTTACTGAGTCTGTGTCCTTATCTGTCGGCATGTTACTAAATTTTTTTTTTTTTTTTTTTAGTAACTTTCCAATCCTCAATTTTTCTCGGGCGCCAATTTGTAACGGGTAGCTCTTTCAGGACGACAGACTCAGTAAAACACAGGTTAAAATAAAAATATGTCTATTGATCTAATATATGTACAATATAAATGAAAATAAAATAAATTCTGTGCCGTATAAAAATAAACGTAGAAATTAACTCTGCGCTCCGTCTGGATCCCGCGATGAATGAATCCCCGGCGGACGTCTATAAAAGAAAGAAAGAAAATAATTATTAATAACAAATAAAATAGGTGTAGTCAATCGCACTCAGACGTATATTCGCTTCCGCTTCAAACCAGCGGGAGCTGCGAACACACTCGTCAACTACAAAATCGCTTATGCAGGTCCGCGATAAAGTTCAAGACACGATATCGGTAGACTCTGCTTAATTATGGACGGAGCATGAACTTCAAAGCAGAACTACCTCCGTCCGGGTGGGCTCGCCAGTTCAGGACACTGGCGAAGAGAGGAGCCTAAGGCGCTAAGCTAAAGACTGAATAAATGCCGCTATTCATATGCCTTAAATAGTTGCTCTGAACCCCACTCACATCGTGCTAAGGAGGTGGAAGCGCCAACGCTGACACTCCTACGGTTCAAGCTGTTGAACGGTGATGACATCGTTACAATATGCCCGAAAATACTGAATATATGAAAAAAATATAAATTACCAAATTGTAGCTTTTTTAATGACTAAAATTATCCTTTATTTAGATTTGTTGTACAATGAATATTTGGCGAGATATAGCCATTTAAAGCATCGATTTACGATCAAGCACCATCTTTTTCGAGCCCTTTAAACTCACCCCATTTAAAGACCAAGGGTTCCAAAAAGATTTAATTCACAGATCCTTGTAGCTATTAAAAACCTCTACAAATCGTTTTTAAATAAACATCTATCATTAAAAATTAAAGGAAATACGTTAAAAAACCAGTTAATTTTTTTCCGGAAAATTCCATTAGTATAGTACAGTACATTTCGGAGCATAATAATCTACAAAACCGGTATATTAGCTAGTGGGGCGTTATACATTCGAAATTTTAAGCGTTCTTATTTTGAAATCCCATACAACAGAATAAAACATCTGCTCATATGTCTATGGCTTGGCAATGAAAATATCAGAGCAACAGATTGGGGATGGTTTTCCAAAGATGGTTTGTTATTACCCGTACGCATGAACAAACAACCTGCACCCGATAAATTTTTAAAAATTATTTTTTGCCAATGCAAAAAAGGATGCGGCGTTTCATATGGGTGCAGAAAAGTTGGTTTATACTGTAACTCTACTTGTTCTGGTTGCTCAGGTGAAGGGTGCAATAACAGTCCACCAATAATTGAGAAAGATGATGATGACATAGATCACAATGAAGATGTAATTGATGACGAATAAAATTAATATTATAATTGTTTTACCTATAAATGTAAATATTTTCAACTATTTATGTAAATGTATATGAATATATGGTGCCTTTTTATGTTGATAATTTTTTTTGTATTTAATTCTACTTTTTTTAATTTATATCTTATAAATTAGTTTATAAAAACTTCAATGTTGTAAAGGGTGATTTTCAAAAGTTGAAAAGTTACAAAATTTTGGCAAAAAATTGTTTTCACCTATAGCACTCATAACAATGGATTTTTAAGGGTTGAAAATGTATGAATTTGTATTTTAAAGTATAAAAAACTCACTATTTAACTAATCCAAACCAAATTTCACTCATCTTAGGATTTGTAATATTATTTTACAATTTTTTAAAATTAGGGGTAGTTTTCACTCCTAAGAACAATCAGGGTTCATCGGCATGACATAAACTATAAAGCAGAGGGTGAGTTGAGCTTAATTCCAAATTTTTATGCAAGTCGTTTCAAGGTGAAATCATTTTTTTCGCATTACTAATTTTTTTATATTAATCTCTAATGAAGGTCGCTTTTTAAGGGTTGAAATATGATGGAACTTTATTGAAAAGCACGAAACTATCATTATTTAATTAATTCAAACCAAATTTTACCCATATTCAGGTTTAATATGTTATTTTATAATTTTTGACAATTAGGGGTAGTTTTCATCCCTAAGAACAATCAGGGTTCGTCGACATGACATAAACTATAAAGCAGCGGGTGAATTGAGCTTAAATCCAAATTTTTATCCAAATCGATACAAGGCGAAATCATTTTTTTAGAATTAGTAATTTTTTACATTAATCTCTAACAAGGGTTGCTTTTTAAGGGTTGAAATATGATGGAACTCTATTCAAAAGTATAAAATAATCATTATTTAATTAATTCAAATCAAATCTTACCCATATTCAGGTTTAATATGTTATTTTATAATTTTTGACAATTAGGGGTAGTTTTCACCCCTAAAACCATTCAGCTCACTTCGGTTCGATATAGATTTTGATCCTTGGGCTATTACCTACCTTCTGCTAAAATTTCAACTGGATACATGCAGGACGAAAAAATTGCGAGGTTTTAACTTTTTTCGAGCTTCAATTCCTGAACTATTATCGCCTCCTTAGACAAACCCGTCTTACGCAAACAACTTTGTTGCGAGACAGATAGTTGAACGATATTTTATACAATGTCTATACCCAGGTATGGATTTATTTTTGTCCAAGTTTTATATTGGTCCACTATTTTAAATGCAGTTCAAACAGACATGTATTAAATTGTATGTTCCGTTTTAATTTGGTTCAATCTGTATATGAATGAATATAGTTATTTTATGTGGAAAGCAAAACCAGTAACTATAGTTTTTATTATTATTAATTTGATTGTCGATAAAAAATATAAAATAATAAATTAGTCCAGTCAGTTTGGCTTAAGCATATATAAATTTTTTTAAGCTGGGATGTTTTAAGAACAATAAATTACTTAATTTGTCAATATCTGATTTTCTATTTACACATTTTTTATTTTTCTGTATATGTGTCATTTTTAAAAATAATCGCTACTGTTCATTTTTTGCCTCTCTAGAATTGAAGCTTGTGAAAAATTAAATATGTGATTTAGATTAATGGAGTGGTTGGCTAATGCACAAGCTTGTGATTTGTATGTTTTTACATCACTTTTGTGATGTAAAAATTAGCTGAATACTCCATTAATCTAAATCACACATTTGATTTTAATTTTAAATAAGAAATATGTAACTATAAATAACTGTATATTCATTCATATAATGTACATTAATCAAACCAACATGACAATGACAATTATAATGACAATATAGTTATTTTAACAAAATTTTTTTAATTGTAATATTTATATGTGTAATGGTTCGTTTCATAAAGCTAAACTAAAACTGTAATCTCACGACTAGTAAGTAAGACAATTAACAATTATAACTAGATAATTTTTATATTTCTTTTTTAACAGATGTCTTGAAAAAGAATTAGAATAAATTCGAAAGCTTGACAGTAAGTCAACCAGGTTTTCGACTCTGTGGTCGAAAAAGTGCCACCAGCAACCAGAATACTTTAACACAGGGGTGCTCAAACGGTCGATCGCGAGTGCTTTTTGGGTAGATCTCAAGAAGAAAAAAATTTTAATAAATAGGTAGGTAACTAAACTACTGTCAGCAGAGTTAAACGTTTTTATTAATACTGAACTATACAAATACATAGAATGCTTGACTAAGCATCATTGCAATTCAAAGAAGTGGGGACAACAAAATACTGCCCACACAGCATATTTTGTATTTACATATATTAACTAATTATTTTATTATTTCAATATTTATTATAATTATTAATCAAATTTGGGATGATATTCTATCAACTACAAAAATGTATTACGTAATAAAATAACACTGCTTGCGGCAAAAGGTGGCTTTATCAAAGGAACGAGCGGCACTTGTCAAATTTAATTTGTTTAATACATACAGAAATAGAAAGTAGATCTTTGGTTGTTTTAGTTTTTTATTAAATAGGTACAAATCGGGCTTCTACAACAAAAAATAAAATTTAAGTTAGATGAATTATAAAAGTGAATTTACAATAATTTTGATATGATTATACCTTAAATATGTAATTCAAGCAACTTAATCAACTACCACTGAATGAAAAAATATACAGATATATCTTGTCGCTATATGAATTTGAGTTGGTACTCAACCGTACATGTACATGTCTGATGATTGCCTACAACATTGAAATGGCGATAATGTACCGGTATGTACGAATTCAAATACAAACACCGACAAATATATTGTGACGCTGATACATAGAGTGCATTGTATACATTTGAGCTAGAGAAAGCTTTTCTGGGATTAATTTGACCCATTTCGACTACCACAAAAAACAGACAAAAATAATTATTAAATTGTTTCCGTTTACGACCGTAACAGTAGATGTTACTTTTATAAGCTATCGCTTAAGTGAGTCAATATGCAATTACGTCTTGTTGGTCTTTGAGCAGTTGTATTTAAAAACAGGAAAATGAAAAGTTTAGTCTTATATAAACTATTAGTGATTGATCAGTTCACTGCATGGTGTCATTTAAATAGGAGAAATTAATTATAATTATTTGTAAAACATTGCCTTAAGTTACTAAAATATATATTTTACTTAATTTAGCCATTTAGATTACTTAAGTCCACTAATTCTCCTTCCTCAGCTACTGCATTAATTAGTTGATAATTTTTGAGGTCTTGATTTGTCGTTTCTTCTTCTGGATCTACTTGATCGTTTTGTTCTTCAGTCTCCTTAGTTAATTCCTAAAAACACATTTGTTATTGTATACACTTAGGTAAAAAAAACTGTTTTATTCTTTATTTTAACAATTCGTTGATTCAGTTCACAGTTTTTGCAATTTATTCTGTTAGATTTATTGAAATATTATTACATAATTACCTATTATTATATAATTGAGTACATATTATGAAATTTGTGTAACTGATATTGAGTAATGAAATTTGTGTAACTCTAAATTCGTTTGAATTGTTTTACTTACAATAATTTTCTCTAATATAAATTGTTTTTAGTAGATATAGTTTGGTAGTAGTTTGGTATAAATCATGGACGTTTATACGTCCATGATATGAATGATATCTGTTCACAGTTTTTGATGCATACGAATTAATCATTAAATATCGAGAACGGATTCTGCGTATCATAAGATAAGTTTAAAGTTTGTTTTAGGTCCTTTTTAATAAAATAATAATAATTTGTGATTCCATCTAAACCTTTAACACACAATGGCGCCCATTCATTTTTATTGATGACGTTACTGAATCTGATCAGTAACAATAGTAATAGTAACAATAGTAAGTATAGGTTGATACACAGCTGGACATAAAAACAATAGTTCTAAATAAGGATAAAACCCCCTCTGTGGCTCAGTGGTAAGAGCGCCTACCTTTAAACCTAAAGGTCGTGAGTTCGAATCTCACCTGGGTGGAGAAATTTTCGTTTATTAAAAATTAAAGAATGAAAATAATTTCTATCCTTGTGTGATCGGTATTCACCGGAGGGACCGCAGACGTTCGGATACAATTAACGTCTCTTAGCAAAGACAATGACGTCAACTTTGCTAAGTATCAAGACAATTACTCTACACACACACACACACACACACACACACACACACACACACACACTACACTAGGTACCTGACTGTACCATGCCAATGATCATAAGTTGTCGAGGCATTAACTCAATAAAAAAAATAAGGATAAAACATCGAAGGTATGAGGGATATATTCAAAAACACGATTGTGGATGAAGAAGATCAAAGTTAAGCAAGTACATCCTCAAACAGAGAAAGTCATGGATAACAAGCAAAATACTGCTTCTGAGGGAAAGACGACGGTTGATAAAAAAAAAACAAAAACGTGTGGGGATATAAAGAGGTTAATAGGAAAATTGGAAGACAAAAAATATCTGCCAGGGAAAAAGGGATGCAAGAAAAATATAAAGATTACCATATTTGCAAATGAAACATAAAGACAGAAAAACATATAAACGTCAAAGAGGTAGACTTGGGAGATCTTACCATTTATTTGTAGTAATAATTAACAATAACGTAATATAATTACACATGTAAGAAAAATATGGGAACAATATTTGAAATATCTATTTGATGATCACAGAACAGAAGTAGAGATACACACAGACAAAGATCAGAATACATTTATCAAAGAAGTTAAGCAAGATAAATAAAGATCAGAAATATACTTGTAGAAGAAGTTAAGTAAGCTATCTTAGAAACAAAGAGCAACAAACAAGCTTTACAGTTTACAATGCCGTATTTGAACTATTAGAAGCCTTGGGCACAATAGGAAAATGGGGCTCCTGGTCTATAATAAAGCACTATTTTATTAGAATAAAAAAGAACATAGATAGATAGGCAAAGTTTCAGCTTTATTTTTATTCCTGCGCAGTAAAATTAGATATTATGTATTATAAATAGATAAATAAAATAATGTGATACACACAAAGTAATTGGCGTTCACAATTAGTCCTTATATAAGTACATATCTATACTGATTAAAGAGGCTCCCTTCTAGATTTGAGTTGAGAATAATCGTTTACCACATCTTCAAAATCTATGTTTTCGAGCTATCATATTCTATCGACATCAGCGACAAACTGTTTAAACTGTATTGAAGCATTGTACTTCGTAATCTATTTTTATTCGTCTTAATTTGGAGAAGCAGCGTTCTCCACTGCAGTTTGTTACACTCCGTTCGGCTAGCCGAGATAAGACTAGGGCCGAGGCCAGAAGTCCCTGTCTTAGACATCTCGGTCACCGGTCTACATTCCTAGTATCCGAGAGGAGACTCTCGTGGAACCGCTCTACTCTCATTCCACAAGAGCCAGGTGAGGTTGAATGAGCTTAGCCCGTAAACACCTCTTTCGGCCCACACCACCAAAAGCGGCGTCGGTGTCTCGGCACGTACCCACCTAGATGATTTACGAGTGTAGCAAATATCTGTAGCATTTTTGAAGAATGTTACTATAGACTATTCCACGAATATACGACTGTTTTGGTTTACTGCGACAACGAATATTTTACTGTGCAAGTAGAAGTATGAAGGTCAATTGGTCTAATTATTATTCCAATAAAAAGGGTCTACTAGTATGACATCTAAACTAAAATTATTTCAGTTAAAATCTACAAATAAATATAATGACGTCTATGAAGCCAAATGTGTTCATCAGACATTTGGGTAAGCTTTCCGTGAAATGTAAACACCAAAGAGGCGTGCCGGGTTTCTTTGATATAACACATTTTATTATAATACTTTGTTAGGTATTACAACTGTAATAAAAAGAAATATACTATTTTTAATATAAATGAAAAGAATTTGGCAGAACGATGGTTCACAAACCAGAAAAAAGATCTAATATTTCACTTTGTTAGTTTTAAATATTTGTTTGCTTTGAGGTGCAGAGTCATTAAAAAAATCTGGCGTGAACTTCTACGTCTGGTTCTTTGAGATAGGTCTTTATAGTCAGATTCCGGGTACTTTTCTTTGGCGGACGATTCTAAGTAATCAAATTAATCCCTGAGGCTAATTATATTATTATCGAGTGCAGTAAACAAATTAGTTGCAAGGTCCACTGTTATTGTTTGTTTCTGAAGATAAATGCTTGTTTTATTTATTCTCTCCAATACAGAGCTCCAAATTTCTGTTGGTATAATAAATTCTAGTTTAAATAAACTAGATTTCATAATCCAGATCTCACACTCACATCCGTCTGTAATAATAAGGTTGTAGGTTTGAGGCTAAATGAAGTGTACATAAAGTGTTAATGAAAAAAATAGACCAAACGATCTATTGAACAGTGGGTAGTTGACTACAATAAAATGGTCTACCAGGCACTGTCAATACTGCAAAACGAGAAGAAAATTGACTATGAAATTGAAATATTAAAATTAGATCAGAATTGAAAGCAGTGTGTAAATGGGTATAGTTCAAGTAGTTCAGTTAAACCTCAAGCCAATGGGGGAACTATAAAACTAATATGTAATAGCATTACTAAAGACCAATTGACCAACAGGTGTTGAAATATAAAACTGTGGAATTAGTATATGTAGATTATGCAGAGGTATGAAGAGTGAAATCAACTCCAACTGTGGATCAATTGAATCTGAGCAAGCTAGTTGTGTAAATTGTTAAATACAATAGTAATGCTGAACAGAGCTTGAAATTGGTAGATTCTTAATGTATAAACTCAGTGCAGGAAGTCTAGACAGCCGAGCTGGATCCACTACGAGGTGAAGCTGTAATAAAGTTTTTAAAAATAGGTTTAAATTTAGTACAGTTTAAATTAATTTGAGTATTAAGACAATGAGAGTCCATTCGTTTCCTTTGTGATCTCCAAATCTTCCAATAGATCCAACTCCAAATAGTTTTTCTTTCTACTGATGTCATGCAAAATAGACGACCCAGTATTGATGTTGAAATTGTGTTTGCTAGACTCTAAATGTTGACCAAAACTTGAAGAGTTTGGTCTTTTTAAATGTTCTGATATTCTAGTAGATAGCTTTCTAATGGTTCTGCCTACATAAGAGGCATCACAATCATTACACTTTAATTTGTAAATACCACTTTTGTCAAGTGTGTTCAGCCTGTCTTTGGTGTTAATTAAAAAGGAACCTACAGTGTTGTGTGACTTAAAGGAAATTTTGATGTTTTCAACTGCAGAAGTAAAAAGTTTAGCTATTTTATTAGAAATGTTACTAATATAAGTAAAAGAAAAAGATCTGATGTTAGAAGCATTAAAATGCTAGACTTCCTGCACTGCGTTTATACATTAAGAATCTACCAATTTCAAGCTCTGTTCAGCATTACTATTGTATTTAACAATTTACACAACCAGCTTGCTCAGATTCAATTGATCCACAGTTGGAGTTGATTTCACTCTTCATACCTCTGCATAATCTACATATACTAATTCCACAGTTTTATATTTCAACACCTGTTGGTCAATTGGTCTTTAGTAATGCTATTACATATAAGTTTTATAGTTCCCCCATTGGCTTGAGGTTTAACTGAACTACTTGAACTATACTCATTTACACACTGCTTTCAATTCTGATCTAATTTTAATATTTCAATTTCATAGTCAATTTTCTTCTCGTTTTGCAGTATTGACAGTGCCTGGTAGACCATTTTATTGTAGTCAACTACCCACTGTCCAATAGATCGTTTGGTCTATTTCTTTCATTCACACTTTATGTACACTTCATTTAGCCTCAAACCTACAACCTTATTATTACAGACGGGTGTGAGTGTGAGATCTGGATTATGCAATCTAGTTTAAATCAAAATATTCTATATGTCATACTTCATCAGCTGATTTTTTCAGTAGTATTTCTAGTTGGACCTTTGGCCAATGACAACTTATACAGAATTTTAATATTTGCTGATCACAGATCCATAACTTTGACTGCCTATCAAAGTTGTCATATGTCACATGTCACCGTATCATTTCCGCTTAGATCATTATCCCTCCAGATACTGACAGAGAATGTAGCGTAGAATCTTTAAGTAATTTTAAACTGTTTGTCCTCGTTTTAGTGTAGTGTTTTGTACAATTTTATGTTATTTTTAATGTTTCCACATTCTACGCTTGCCGGATAGTTTACATTTTGACGAAGTAAGTCTAAAACGTTAATCTCAAAAACTTTTTTCATCCATTAACTTCGAGTTTTTTATCGAAGTTATCTAATTTACTTCATCTAAAAAACGTTTTCTTGGCTTATTTCAGATGCCCCTGAAGATGCTATTTTAAGCGAAAGTACTTGGGCTAGATTTAATTAACTTGTGCTCGATAATAGCCTTATTTTCAAAGTTAAAAATTATTTTTATATTAAATATTCTCGAAACGTTAATCATTAGTTAAAACTGTAATTTTCATTACAATCAATTGTGGCTTAAATTCCATATAAGATTAAAATTAAACAAAGTCATATTGATCTTCATGATTAATTAAGAAAGTAAGGTGCAATATCACCATCTGAAAGTTTTTCAGCACGAAAGATTGTGGAACTCCAATAGTCTCCTCCTCAAATCTGGGTCCTTATACAATTGGCTGTAACTAACGGGTTCCTTGCTTCAACTTTGCCATAGTGGTTGCAGTCTTCTGGACAAGATCGTCTACTCAGGGTATCGGCATTATAATGTTAAGTATATTTACGATGTTTAATATCCAAATCATACTTAGTTCTGTAATTTTTATAGCCAGCTAGCAACCTGTTCTTAGGGCTTCTTGAATGATAAGATCCATTGAAGCCAAGCATTATCCGTCCGAATAAGAAACTTCCGTCCATATAAATAAACGGTACATAACGCGAAAAAAGTAAGCGAATACAAATACTTGGGAACCCTCATCAATGAAACAGTTGACCAAAATCGCGAGATAAAAAGACGTATTGAAATTGTCAGGTCTACCTTTATAAAAATGAAAAAACACATTTTTTCTTTAATCGGACATCGTAATCGTGAAGATTCATTATTCGGGCATTGATTGCCGTGCTTTCTAATTAGATTTCTTGCTTAAGGGATGCCTTTAGGGAGTTGTTGGATAGCTGGTTCGAAGACTCTGAGAACAGTAGTCGGTAGGATTGGTTCTGGTTCCCCAACAATAGGTATTATAATCTCGGATCGGGTTGGTAATGGAACATCTTCTTCAACATAGATGTGGCATATTGTTTCACTACATTCTGCTGACATCAACATATATTTGCTTTGGAATCCAAGTTAACATTATGATAAAGCAAGAAGTCTAGACCAACAATGGCGTCATTCATGATATCAGCTAGCAGCACATGATGTATAATTTTCTGCCTCCCAGCTGCATCTCCACTTCGGTATAACCATGGATAGGAGCTACGTTCCCGTTGCGGTTGTTAAAGTATAACTTTTCTCGCATCGACGGATCTCCGAAACGGATATCATCCTTGGGTGGACTATAGCGTGAGTAACGACAGTATCAATGGTTGTCAAATTTTTCTATTAAGCTTACTAGAAATCATAAGACTTTTTCCGTTGTGCTGAAGTTGTGAAACTCTAACTACTCAGGCATTGTAGGAGTCACCAGCAGTCGCCCCTTACGGCTGGTTTCTCCTCGACATTAATTTCTACGATGACGTATTTTACCAGACTGTCAACATCTAAGCGTGCATTCATAACGGGGTGCTAACCCTCGCTCGGACCAGGGGATAGTATCATCTTAGTGATTTTCGGTAAAATAAATGCGTTATTTTCAATGTGAGCGTTCACCATTAGTGCTATGCTTTTGGCAAGGATACGATGCCGTGGTCTCCGTTATGAACGCACCCTTAGTGTGGTTGGAAGACTGTTGCGGCTCCTATTTTCTAATCGCTTAAAAAAACCTTTAAGTCTTGTTAGAAGTTCACCAACTTTTTCATTATTGTTGGTGGCCGGAACCTGACAAATTCGTATGTAACTTTTAAAGATGGTTTTGGCTGCCCCGTATTCTAATACATAAGCTAAGACGTCTCTTAGTGTTTTATTTTTAGCCATTCACATAACCTGCTGCATTTCGACGTCGCGTAGTCCATCTATAAAACTGTGGACTGACAGTTGTTCTAAAAAGTCATCTGGGACAGTAGGATAGGCTAGTCTGAAAAGACTTGCTATATTGACTTCGAATTTTTGTAGAGATTTAGCGGATTTCTGCTGCCTGGACCTTAACTGAGTTTGTTACACTTTCTGCAGATGTTTGTCACCACATCGCTTTTCCAATTAAGACACCTAACTGGAAAAATTATTTTGGTCTTTGGTGGTCTGCAAAACATTCAGGAACTGTTCGCCGACTATAAGAAACTGCTACCAAAATAACATTAGTTACACTTAGGTCTGTTGCACAGACTTCTATAACATTTTCCGATTATTCACACTTAAATCATATAAACTTACCTCTGTTGAGCTGGCATTAGAACTGGAAGTTCCAAATGTTCTCTTTATTTCTGAAAATAAAGGCGTTTCTAAAGATTTTGGTATATTTTGTAATGATCCTGCCATTGATTGTCCTTCTCCTATTAAACCAGTGCCTTCACTAACACTACTTCTTGAAAAGAATATTGATCTATAAGTAAGAGGCGCTGAACTAATGCCCAATCTAAAAATAATAGTTATGATTACGTTATTTTTAAAAATAATTATAATTAATATATATATATATATATATATATATATATATATATATATATATATTTATATATATATACATATATACATATATATATATATATATATATATATATATATATATATATATATTTATATATATATATACATATGTACATATATATATATATATATATATATATATATATATATATATATATATATATATATATATATATATTCTTTCCTCTTGTTTAAAATTTCCATTCTAATATTTCTAATTCTATTTCTATTTTCTCTTGTTCTATTTTCTTTTGTCCGTGTTTTAAATCAAACTCACCTTGTTTCCGGGTTGGACCTCATCGAATTTCACTGCACCGAGCTTTTGACTTCCCCTCTGAAGTCTTCATCAGAGCTCCCGAATCTCAGTTTTCTGTGTCCAAAGATCACTTCACTGCACTATTCAGTACAGCAACTGTGTAGCAAAATGATCTGAGACTCAGAGAGGAAGTCTTAAAACTCCGTGCAGTGAAATTCTACGCGTTTCAACACGAAAATTAGATGAGTTTGATGGTGAATAATATTATTAAATTTATTAGCTTCAGGTTTATATTGTGTATAGACAGGGTGACCAGAAACTCTCCTGAAAAACGAAGACTGGAGATTCCTCAGATAATTTTAAGACAATTTGACCCAATCCACATAGTCTGAAAATGCTCTTCCTAAGGGAGCTAGAGCTCTTTGAAGATGGAACCTTTTAATTAGTTTTTTTATTACTTTCAGAACGTTTCTAGTTAGAAAAACGAAAACTTCGTTAACGTTCTACATGACGACTGTGAGGCCCACTTTAGCATTAATATACGAGACTTTCTTGATAATCACTACAAAGACCACTGTATTGAAAGAGGCGGTCCAGTTGCTTTTCCAGCAAGGTCGACGGATTTTAATCCTTGCGATTATTGTGTTTGATAATACATAAAAACATTTGTTTATTTCGTTCCGATATAAAATTGTGCACAACTCTGGCTAAGGTTATAATATGCTTGTAACAACTTTAGACAACTTTGGAAGTTCTGAAGAATTCGGCGTTCTCTAAGCAAAAGGGCAAATTTTCGCAAAAGCAAAAGCGCACGTCGAGCATCTTTTGTAACTATTTACTTTTGATATTTGTTCTTTTGTGTTAGTTTCGTTATATCGTAATAAATACTTTGTCTTTAAAACCCCTTAAATAAAATTTGATTTTGATAAAATGTTTCAATTTGATTTTTTGCTTCTTTTTCCAAACTTTATTTATGAATTGTGTGCTGCATTTATTGAAACAAAAGATAATTTGCAAAATTAATTAAGGTACCTATTATTTTAACTTTGAAGATGAAAAAACGAAACATTTTCAAATCGATTTTTCTAGAAAATGGTGTATTCTACCGACTTTAAGTAGAATTATCTTTTAGTACTAGAATATTTGAAAATTTATAATCTAATCTAGTATAACGAATGCTTGAAAGTTAAAGACAAAAAAGTTATGCGTTAAAATAACCGTTGACCTATCCAAAACGGACGCCTATGATCGGTACTAGAAATTCGCAATTGATGGAATTGATTCAACTCTGGATGATAGAGATAATCAGACCAGTTTTCGTGTTTCTAAATAAAAGCGTTCAGGAGATATTTAAAGAAAACCAATTACAAGGTGCCACCTTCAAAGCGCTATAGCTCCCTTAGGAAGCATTTCCGGACTAGAAGAATTGGGTTAAATTGTCTTAAAATTACCTGAGGAATTTCTGGTCTGTATGTAGAGTGTTAATTTTAAAATTTACAATGGGCTATATCTCACGAACAAAAGCTGATATCAGCTTGAAACCGTTTCTAGTATAGTAAGGGGAAACTAAAATGACATGAAAGAAAACTCGCCCCCATCAACCCCCTAGGCCCCACCCACCACAACCAAAAAAGTTTAAATTGCAAACCCCTACTTGTGATACATCATTGGAAAGGATATAAAAATGCTATCCAATGGTATAAATAATAATTATTTAGGATGAAGCAATAATTGTGAAACTTGGGCTTAAATGGAAAATTTAATGAGGTTTTTATTGAACTACAAATTTGTTAAAAATGTCAATTAAGTAAATGTTCAAATTGCGTTCCGTTGTTTTGTAAAAAACAATACAGTCTATTTTTAAATTCTACACGAACTTTGGCAAATGTTCTCTCCCGTAATTCTCCAAGACGCAGGTTGAGTTTTATAAACAACTGACTTGAGGTAACCCCGTAGAAAAAAGTTCTTCTTCTTCTTACGGTGCCTTATCCTTAAGGACGTTGGCCATTACATTTGCCCATTTAATCCTATTTGTAGTAGCCCTGAATAGGTCTATGGAGGTCATGTTCGTCCATTGCCGCAGGTTTTTAAGCCAAGAGTTGCGTCTTCTTCCTGGTTCTCTTTTGATATTGACTTTGCCTTCGATTATAAGTTGGAGCAGTTCATACTTTTGATTTCTTATGTGATCAAAATATTGTGTTTTCCGTTCTTTTAATATAAGCATAAGCACTTTTTTCTTATTCATCCTCCACAAGACTTTCGCATTTGTCGTATGGCTCATGTAGGATATTCTGAGCATTTTACGGTAACACCAGAGTTCGAATGCTTGGATTCTTTTTTGTGTTGCTTCTGTCATTGTCCAGGCTTCAACACCATAGAGCAAGGTGGAGAAAACATAGCACTTAAGTATTCTAGTTCTCAATGAGATGCCCAGCTGGCGGTTGCATAGAACTTTTTGCATTTTGTAAAACATTGTACGTGCCTTTTCCAGGCGTATTCTTATCTCTAGTGAGTGGTCCCAAGTTTCATCAAGACTACTTCCAAGGTACGTTGTTCTTGTTACTCTTTCCAGATCTGTTCCGTCGACATTGACCTTCACCCTTCTGTTTTGGTGCTTGCTGATGACCATCGTTTTTGTCTTCTTTGAATTCAATTTCATTCCAAATTCTCTACAGGCTGTCGTTACTCGGTCCATTAAGCGTTGCAGGGCTTCAGCATTATCTGCCAGTATGACAGTGTCATCAGCATATCGCAGGTTATTTATACATTGCCGTTTATAATTATACCATCCGAGGTGCCTTCCAAAGCTTTCTGAAATATCTTCTCAGAGTAAACATTGAACAGCAAAGGTGATAGGACACATCCCTGTCTTACTCCCTTCTCGATATTGATTTTTCCAGATGTTTCGCATTTTATTCTGATTTTAGCCTTTTGTTCTTGGTAGAGGTTTGAAATGATCATTAAGTCTTTATCGTCGATATTACATGACCTTAAAATATCTATTAGTTTATCATATTTCACCAGGTCAAACGCCTTCTGAAAGTCTATAAAACACAAGTATACATCAGAATCGACATCTCTATATCTTTCAACTAGCACACGTATTGAAAAAAGTGCTTCTCTTGTTCCGAACCCATTCTTAAAACCAAACTGAGTTTGACCAGTGTGTTCGTCTAGTTTATTGTATACTCTATTGTGTATTACTCGTAGGAAAAGCTTCAACATATGATTCATCAGGCTAATAATCCTATGGTCTTCACATTTCTTGGAGTTTCTCTTCTTTGGTAGTGGTATAAACACCGATGTCAGCCAATCATTTGGTATTATGCCTGTTTCGTATATTTTGTTAAATATATCTTCCATTACTTCTATGTGTTCGTCTAGTAATATCTTTATTATTTCGATTGGGATATTATCTTCCCCAACAGCTTATCCGTTCTTTATCTGATTTGCCGCTTTGATAATTTCTTGCTTTGTGATATAAGGTCCAGTCGATGCCTCCTGCATGTAAATGTTCGTCCTCTCTCGGTCTTGAAACATCTCGTCCACGTATTCTCTCCATCTACCTATTTGATCATCCACGTTCAGTAGCGGGTTCCCATGTTTATCTTCGATGAAAGACGTAGGAGTTTGTTTAAATATTCCAGTGGCTTCTTTTACTTTTTTATGTAGATTGAAAGTATCATGTCTTTGTTCCAACTCTTCAATTTCTTGGCATCTTTCACTTAGCCAGGTTTCTTTGACTTGTTGGATCTTTATTCTGATATCCTTCTGTATTGTTTCATTTTTACCTCTGTATTTTCGTCCATCATGTTTAGAATTTCTTCTATCATCCATGGTTTGTTTTTTGTTCTTGTATCTTGTTTGAGGTAGTCTTCTGTTACTGTTGTAAGTGTTTTCTCAATATAGTGCCAGTCTTCCTCGGGAGTTTGTGTCGATTGTACTGTTCTGTTACTCAAGTGTCTATGTATTGCTTCCCGTATTTTATTACTAGTGGATTCTTCTTTAAGCTTATCTGGGTTAATAGCTATTATTTGCTTATTTCTTTTTGTTCTTTTAAATACTATCCTAATTGTTGCAAGAAGAAGATTGTGGTCGGTGGGGATGTCAGCTCCGGGGTATGTCTTGCATGCTTTTACTGCGTTTTTGTATCTTTTGTTGACCATTATGTAATCAAAAAGAGGTTAATCTTTGTAAATGGGTATATTTATTTAAAAAACCCTTAAAAGGGCCACATCAATAAAACAAACGTTTTCGGACCACACAGTCCATCATCAGGTTTTTAAAATCAAAAAATGCCTAAAAATAAGTATAAACCATTTAGTTAAAACAAACGAGATTGTGAAATTTTGACTATGGTTGATAAGCAAGATGTTGAGAGAAGGTGGAACACTTCCACCTTCTCTCAACATCTTGCACAACATAAACATACCCTCAACATCCCAGAAGATGTCTCTTTGTTACATAACATTCCCCAAAAATTTTTTCTAAAATTAGATCTATATGAAGACTTGGAAATAGTCAAAGAAAAACAAAATAGCCCCAATTGTGTTAATCGCCATGCATCTTTCAACCGTGACTTTCAACCTTTACATCGTCAACTTTTTTCATAGTTCACACTCCACAATACTGCCGTACTTTCTCTGCCTTATTTTCCTATACAAACGTCAACA